AAAGAGAGAATTATTCACTTCTGAAATGAATAAAATATGTATGATATGTATGTATATACCATATGAAAAATCCTATAGTTAATCTATCAGTACTGAAAAGTATTGGTATAGATTACTAAATTTTCTTAAAATGTTTAATCTTAATCTCATTCATAAATAATTTAATTAACTCATACGGAGTTTATGTTATTTTAGGAATTATCCTCACTATTAAACATGTGTTAAGTAAATTATAGTACACAGCGAGTTTGTAAAATATAATGGAAACATGAATAATTCAAATACTAGGGCAAGTTCATTAGAAAATCAAATAAAATCTAAATTGTATGTAAATAAATGTATAATACATAAAATAACTCAATAATGACAATTAAAAAAATGAATAACTATTTGAAATACATAATACCATAGAATATAAAGTACAATTTATAATTTTTTAAGTTAATAAATAAAGTTTACTAGTGCATTAATTATTTTGTTTTGAAATTTTTTAAAAGCCTAACCTATAGTTAATAAACCTTGTATTTAGTTATAATCAATATTTACTGTATGTCAAAATAAAATTTATGAACTATAGGTAACACATGAACTAAAAAACATTCTATTAAAAGTAATGTATTTCTATACAAGACATAAAAATGTGCAACTGTGCATTGATCTATTCACTTGCATTATGTTTATATTTGATGTGAATTATAATTTTTTATCACATCAATAGAAAACATGCAATAGACGATTTGAGTTTGACCTTTTTTGAGACACTTGGGCATAAATTTAATCATGAATTAATTACTTTACTATGTTATGATATAATTTGTAAACTAATAAATATAAACTACAGTTACCAGACATTTTTCTTGAGTTGATATTGAATGCACACAGCATTGCAGCTATGTTGACATTTATCATCAAGTAAATTAATTTAACTATTGTAACAAACAAACCCAAAATTGATTGAATGAAACAATCATCAAATGCCAGCTATACAATACCTTCTATAAATTTAAAAGTATTATTAATAATCATTGAACTAAGGGGTTTTATAGAACTTAGGTTAAGCTAAAAAACCACTAAGAGAATAAAATATCATTAAAAATCACCTAGTGACCAAAATAAACTACTTAAAGGAAGCTTGTTCTAAGTGATTTAATATAAATTAGTTTTAAGTTTAATGATTAGCAACATTATTAAACAATAACTTTAATACACTTAAGTAGGTACCATACCAGAAACATAATTAAATGATAGTTATTTTTAAAGAACATATTCTATAGTTTGAGATAAAAATATTTGAAATAATATTGTGGCTATCAAGGATATTTTATCATTTAAAGATAATAGAAGAAAAAAAATGGAAATCTATCAATAATACTACTTATATATACTTTTTTAATTAAGTAAGTTATACTAGAACCCAAATTTGTATACAATTTAAATATTTTTTTGAATAATAGAATTTTACTTTAGCTGTTAGATTGATTGGATGAAAAATTAAAATATAAAATTAGCAAAACTATTATCTGTCATGAAAGCTAATATACAAAAAAAATTAGCATTATCTTGAGCAACTATATTATCATATAAGCAAATCACAAGGTATAGACATAAATAGTGGCTGATAATATTTTATAACTAAAAATTACTAAATTAATACAGATTTCTAATCATCAATATCTAGTATAAAAGTATTCCTATCTTCACTCAACAAAATGGAAAGGAACAATGATTCTTACTCGTATAAAAAATTATGAAAAATAAACTAACGCTCAAAAAATAAAGAAAATATATGAAATGACACTGTGACTAACAATGATATCAGTCACAAATTTTTATACAATCCTGCATCCTTAATTTTAAAATTAATTAGTATGTTTACATAATAGTGTTAAAATGGTTATAGATCTATGGACACTTGAATTTTTAACGGTAGGTAAATAAAACAGCTCAAACTATAGTAGAAGGCAAGCATTCATAGGTTTAAATTATGTGTACTCATAAACAGATGCTGGAAATTCAAAATGGTTTCATGATAAAGAGCGCTGATGGTAGTAGAAATTATAATTTTGTTATCAGTGGTCGGTAATAGGCAGAACCAAATCCAACCAGTAGAGGGAAAATAATTGGACCGCAAAAAATATTTTTTTAATAATGCTGGTTTTCCACACGTATCATATATTTTATGATATATTTGGAGATTACGATGGTGTTTATTGTTTATTGCTGTTTACTATAATAGTTACGATAACACAACAATTATTAAAAGGACATGATACCCACATGTCTTGTCTTTGTCTTACAAGTGGATAGCATAGCAAATTTTACACTCAACAGATCACGTTTTGTTCCGTTGGTTTAAAAATTAGAGTGAATTGACCTCTTATAAAATTTGCTATGTTATCCACTTGTACGACGAAGACAATACATGCGGGTATCACGTCCTCTAATCTAATATCTGAGTTCTTACTGGCTCTCAAAATTTTTTTTTTTTATTTTCTGGACTGCCATAGATAAAATTTAATAGCTGAATCCTGGTTTATATATTACTACATGCATGCATCATTACGTAATCTCAGCGTATGTTAGTAGTATAGACTAGGCAAAACTGTTAAGTTTAAAATCTTTGATTTAAATGCCATCATATAACATACTAAATTATTTTTTTACTAAATTACATTGGAAACTCAATAAAGTAAATGCATAAATAAATATAGGTTGGACAAATAGCGATGAATATGACATTTCAAATTAAATAGATATATTGAAAATAAACATATTATTGACTTATTCATGTCAAATTTTTGACCAAGAAAATTGTGACCAGATGTTTTTTAGTCTACAAGTACTCACATTTGTACAAATAAAGTATAATTACTTGCTAGTAATTTTAATTTGAAGATTTATAACCATTTTAGCTTTACAGCGTAAACATATTAAATACAAACTATAACTTTTGAACTGAAAATATAAAACGCATAAAGTATTAATTCATACATTAAAAAGCATTTCATTGTAACAAGTTGTTATTTTGATTATAAAAGTTAAGTTTACCAATTTTTATTTAAAACATAAAAAAATTAAAATACTAAATTATTTTTTTATTACAATGATAACATTGAATACAGCATAAATACGATACTATTCAATTGTGGAAAAAATTGTTTTTGTCCTAGGTGCGTTCCATATTAACAGTTCTGTGCAACACGCCTTTAGTTATAATCGTAAATATTAATGGATCAAACACAATAAAATTATAATATTATCATTTTATAATCAATTCAAATATAATAAATATAATATTTCAATTATATTCACTATAATAAAATATTGCCATTCATCCATTTTATCTCCAAACTATAATAAATAATAAATACGACTTAACATGTTAAATCACAAGCAGTGTTAGTGATCTTAACAATAATTATACAGACAACCATATTACACATACAATTAGTGTTTATAACTTGACCAAAATGGACAAAATAAAATATACATATAAGTTTGGAACGTTAAAAATGACTTTTAAGTCATTAGATTTAACAATACAAGGTGGGAATAGAGGCTGACTACTAATACGAACAAATTATCGATTTTCGGGTGGGTGGCGGGAGGGGGCAGGGGGAAGTGCAACAAAACAAAATGTCGGCGGCGGCGGCCGTCGGATTGCATTTTGTAAGACGTCTAGCCAACAACGATTTGGCCGACATGTCAACGATAATATAACGCGCGCAGCAGATCATAAATAATATTAATAAAACAACGCAATATAAACAGACACCAAGCACAAATGTGTTTGGCGTGCCTAATGTAATAAAATGGCGGCACAGCGTAGATCAAAGAAATATTACTAACCGGTATTGATTGCCGAGTAATCTGGGCGAATGTTGAGTGGATGACTTGAGAAAATTACAGGAAATGGCCGCAACGACTGAAACGTCGTCGAAATTGGCTATCCCACGATCAATATTAACGCCGTGTGACGTGTATCAAGCTGACCACCGGCTTCGTTGTTAGATGCACAAAATGGCGGCGTCAAATGTATATTGTTTGGAACGCTGAGTGACTTGACTGATTGACGTGCAAGTAATAACAAAACGAAAGAAAAAAAAATGAACGTTTGTCGTTAAAAACTTGAGTAATAGTGACGAGATGCTGCACAACAATTCCAAGATGTCGGAAGAGCGCTGAATGCTGTACGGCGAGTCGGCGAATGGCGGACGGGCTGTTTTACTTTGATAAAGTGATAAGCTTTAGTATTAAATAATTTATTATTTAGTGCGTCAGTACTTCGGTAGTGTTATCATCGGTATAACCAGATACCACCGTTGGAGGTTCATCGTCGATAACTTTTCTCAAACGACTCAAACGTCACTTGTAAACCGTCAACAGACGCAGCATTAATAACAATAATGTTGTCTGCATCTACGGATATTATATTATTCGTGGTTTGTGCCGGCAATATCACGTTTAAACGATGACGGAGTTTGTCCAAGGCGACGTTGTAACTTGTAACACTACGTCGTGCACATACCACTGCTACACCGTTTACCAACCATGGTATAACCGGTGGCGCAGCAGTGTGGACTACGGAGTAAAACTTTTGTTTGTTTTCCTCGACGGACGGGACGCGTCGACGCTCCTCCCACCGTAATTATCATGGTTCACAGATAATGTACGTTGACGATGACGATATGGCTACTGCCTACTGCATAGTTTTCGTCTACTCTCCCACTACCTACTTGTTTGTCGTAAGAGTAGAATTACTTCATACTTGAATTACAGGAGTATTTAACACGACATTGCAATGTGCGTGTGCACGTGTACTAAAAACGCGTCGTTGTCACAATATTAAAATGATTGTCATACTGCTGACTTTAGACATGCGACGACGACATCTCGTTTTTTGACTTTTATCTCTGTTCATTAGGAGCCGTGTGAGTGAGAGAGTTGTTCGTCAGTTCGGGTGTGAGAGCGGGAGAGTAAGATAATGAAAAAAAAAAAAATATCTCGTTTGACAGTGACGGGCTTTGCTAATGACTATACTGAGTACTGACTCGAGTCTCGAGTGCCCGTCGCCGACGACGATAAAAAAATTTAAAAAATAAACTTTAGCCGAGGACGAGGTCTCAGCCGTTCGCCGCCCACCGACTTGTCGCGTATTGTAACCGTTTATAAAACATTCGTTGGAAACCATCACAATAACACCTTCACATACCTACGAATTTATACTAATGATAATGTGTAAATGTCATAATATGTGTGTAATATAATATTACAGTAATATGTAATGTTGTACATAATAACAAAACCAATAATAATAATAATACCAACGAGTGCGACGGCTGACGAGTGTTTTTGTTTTTATTCGTCGTTGGCTCGGGGAATCTGTCGCTCACGCCGTCTGAATAATATTGCGTGTTGAAAAACGTAACGTTACCAAAAAATTCGCAACCGCAACAGTAATCGCGTATCGTCGTTGTTAAATTATTATTATTACTAACGGCGACAAAATAGTTAAAACAGGTATTGTTGTGTAATTCGTCGCCGCCGTAATAATTTTCGTTAGCGATATTATTACTATTATTATTATTATTATTATTATTATTATTATTACTGTTATTATGTAAGCCCTCGGCGGGCCCGCGTAAAACCAAAGTCTGACGAGCGCCCTCGTCGTCCCCTCCCGCCGACCGCCCAACCGCCCACCCGTCGTTCCGAAAGCCCGACAACTTGTCGTCCACACGGTGTCGCGCGCGCCGCTGTCAGTTACTCAGTTGCCCTAAAGGTCGAGTCCGGTATGGTGACGGTTGCTGCCAGTACAGACTACAGTAAGTGGTCGTTACCATCGACGTCTTTTCCGTGTCACTGTCGCTATAGTACAATCGTTTCTATTGTTGCTACTGCTGCTACTCGTTACACGGCCATGTAGTAGTGAATAATCGGTTGACTGAGACACCGTCTGGACGTTAGTAATAATATATCCGTCGACAATAGTCAACAAATCGAAAATAAATTTATCGTTAGTTAAGCTATGCAAACACCATGGCTCGTGTGCCATCACATCCCTCAGCCGGACACAACAATCCATTGGTCAACCGTCTGGTGCGTGTTGGATACTATGAACTGGAAAAGACAATTGGCAAAGGCAACTTTGCTGTTGTCAAGCTGGCCAAACATGTTGTCACAAACTCCAAGGTAAATACTTATCTTTACATACAAAATAAATTTTTATTTATTTAAAAATGCCTTAATTACAGACTTATTGTCAATTATCATTTAACATTTGTAGATAATTAGGTACATCAAATCCATTTACTTTATCTCAATATTTCCCTACTTGAAACATTTTAATATTAGAAATACTATTGTCACTGATATTTATGTTTTTACCTCAATGTGACTTATGTATGAAATTAAATTTTTAATATTTATGTAAATAAATATCTAAAAAGTACTTATTAGTACATATATAAAATATATTCCAGTTTTTTTTTTTTTCATGTTTATATCTTAAAATATATGTTTGGTCTTGATATTCAATATATAAATTAAAAAGGTTTATCTGTTTAAGTAACCAGTTAGGTATGTACAAACAAATACTTATTACTACTAAAACAGTTCAAAACTAAAATTCTTAAATTTGGATTAAGTTTTAAATCAATTTAAACATATTATCTTTCATATTGGGTGTTTAATTAAATAAAAAAAAAAATTATTTTGGTATATTATTATATTATAATTTTTGCTAAAATCAAAACTTATCATAAGTGTACCTAATATTTTTACTTATTCAACTTATCTACCTATTAAAATATCTTATTACTTCTTAAACTTTTAAAATTAAAATTATTTAATTTGTATTAAAAAAATTAATTTAACTAAAAATGAATAAATGATGTCCTAGTTGTCTTAAATGTTATTTTTTATTTTTTTTTCAAGTACCTTAATAAAAATATTTTGTAGTTAAAACTTCATACAAATTTAATTTTACTTGATTAAAATTTTTATTACTACCTGTCTAAAAATATTATCAAATAATAATTTTTTAATAAGTTATTTACATTATTAAATAATAAGATCAATTATTTTGTACCTTTTTATTATCTATAATTATACTTGTAATAATTAAATTTTCATTGCAAATTAAATCGTTATTTTAAAATAATAGTATACTTATAGATTCAAATTTATTTAGCTTTAAACATAGGTATATAAAAAAAAAAAGAAAAAATTCCCTAATTAATGTTAAAAAGAAAATTTATCTCATAAGTCATAATACCTATACTTTATTACAATAAATAATTTACCTACTTAGTATAATTTTCTTTCCAAATGTTTAATTATTATTATTATTATTATTGTTTCATTACAATTATGTATATAAAATATTGTAATAATAGAATAATAGTTAGGTTAGTGAAATTATTTCTTGGTTAAAAACCCATTCATACATCTATATAAAAAACAACTCAATTATTTTATGTATTTTAATCATAATATTTCAAAACTCTAATCACGATTTAGTTAGTATATAAATAAAATAGTTGTACTTATTATATAAATTATATTTTAAGAACTTAACATACCAAGGTATTTATTGTTTATCCTCTTGTTTTTAAGTATAAAAAGGGGTAAAATAGGTAACCACTCTGTTGTACAGTAGAAGTCGATTGTATTTGTCATTGAGTAAGCACTATAATGGATGTATTAAATATGAATTCAATGATAAATCATTGTAAGCAATGAAAATATGATTCTGAGCAAAAGTGGTTTAATCTTTTAGTAATAAAGATTACAAAACAATTATTTTAATAGTATTAAAATTTTAACAAATGTTTTTATTTTTTCCCTGATTATTTTAAAAATACTTGGTATTTTCAATTTTGACCTCCCAAAACTACCAACTAGATCTAATTTGCTACCAAAAATCACCATTGAAGACAATACATTGATCAGAGAAGTTTTTTCAGGCACAAAAAGTTAAATAAAAAGAACACACATCATTGCAAAATACATACATTCATCATTCCTTTCAAAATCTATAAGTAAAAAAAACTTTAGTATTTTGTTTTTATCTTGGTATCAAAATAAATATATATTTAAATATGTCTTCTATAGATAGTCATTAGGTCATATAATAAACTTAAGCACTCTCCAAATAAGTTAAATATTTTTCAATATTATAGTAGATATTGATAAGGGGCTTGACATTGGTATATGATAGATTAAGTGTTTTAATTTTCAATAGAATTTAAGAATTGCTTTAATATTATTATGCAATGCATGTATATTCATTTTATATTCATTTCGAATTTTAAAGTAACTTTACCTTTATCTTTATTAAAAACAAAATTATAAGCTTTAGCTTGAAATATATTAAACCTATTAAATTTACTTTATTTTTAATAAGGTTAATTTTATTAAGTAACTTTACAGTTTAGCTTTTAATTTAATATAAAAAAAAAAAAAAAAAAACGAGTATATTCAATATTTACTAAATTAAGATATACTCTTAAAAATTGATTTATTTAACTATTTTATCAAAACATTATTGGTAGGTAATATATAAAAAATAAATTGTACCATCTCTTCAAATTATTAAAATTAAAAACTAACTTTTTTTACTTATTGATTAATTTTTAATTACTTAATAAAAAAATATTATATTTTAACTGGGATTTGATGTAAAAAAAATGAATAGAAAAATGTATAATTATAAAACTGGTAATTTAATTTACTCATAATAGAATATAGTAGTCTTTTATTTTTTCCTATGGGATTATACACATATAATATATTTAACTCGTTTTGTTTAAATAGTAAATTAATCAAACATAAATCACTTTTTTTAATTAATCAATTCATACCTGATTTAAATAGTTATACAAATAACTTAAGCTGTACCTGTCATATAGAAATACTAATTTTTAATTTATAATGATAAAATATAATATATTTATCTATTTAAACATATTTTAAAATAAAACATATCAATTTAGTATCTATTACAAAGCTATAAAATTAATATTTAAAAATGCTTTTATTTTATTGAAAGAAATATCTAAAGGAATGTGTAGGTATGTATTGTATAATTATTAGAAGAATTATTATTAAGAATAATTATTAAATTAAATATGTTTATATTGTATACTTAGGTATTCAGTTGAAAAAAAATTTTTTTTTGTATACTTACTTATTTGATTATTCCTATTCTAAGAAATTGTTTATATTTATATAATCATACAATAAGTATTTTTATATAAAATAAATACTGAGATGCAAAAAAATAGCAAAAAAAAAAAAAACCTAAGATCTAAAATATGCAAACATATAGTAGGTAATATCTTGATATTTTAATCAAATTTATATCTTTTTAGTTATGGTAATATCTGATAAAATTTGATTACTATGCAAAATCTTTATTTTCAAATATATTACTAGGTCTCTGATATTGAATTAATTTATTTTATAAATTATCCCTTAGTAAGCTATATTTTGAGTTTAAATAAAAGATATTTTTATGGAATGCTGTTAACTTACACAAATAATTTTTGTAGCTGAGAATGTCATATTATTTTTAATAATATATTTTTCTACATCATGTTTTATAAACTTGTACTAAGAATATATTTTATTTTATAATGTTATAACTATAATACATTTTTTTATTGTTTAAATACAATATTATAAAAATTTTCTTTTGTGTATTAGATTCTATTTTTTAGTTTGATTATTTAATGATTACGTATGGATTACTTTAACCTTTGGTTTTATTTATTTATTTATTGATTTATCAAACTACTGACCTTAGCATTTAATTTTGTATGTGTATTGAAAAAAATAATTGCATGGTTCAATAAAAAAATTAACATAAGATCTATTAAATTGGAAAATGAATTTGGCATATTCCTAAAAATAATTTTTTTAGATAATTTATGTGAATTGTATACTTATTTGTAAATATTTATAAGGTTAAATTTATATCTATAGTTATTTATTGCTAAAAAAAAAAATGGATTATACTATTTTTGTTTTTTAACCTACTAAATTAAAATGTAATATCTGTTATATTTTTTTTTCAATATTTAAAATGTTCATTATTTTAATCTTCAATTAAAAATCTATTGTATTCAGATAAAGTGTTGTACAAAAAGTATAGCATCAAATTTATGACGTATTCAATAATATAATACTATATGTTTAATGTTTACTATAATTTCCAATTATATGCTATAGATAATAATGTATATTATTAGTAGAATCGCATAAATATAATCTCATTAATGTTTACTTGTACTTGGTATTACATTCGGTTTCATAACGATAATAATAATAATAAAAAATCATGAAGATGCTGACCTTTTTGTTCCATTTAAAGTATTAGATAAAATGATAGTTAAATTTAATGATTAAGTACAATTTGGTTTGGTAAAATATTATCTCTATTTTCAATTTTAATTATTTTGCATAGATCATTGTTAACTTCTTGCAAAAAAATTACTATTAGCAATTTATTAAATATATTATTTTATACTAGGATCTTTTTTTTTATTTATGTAAGAAAGCATCTAAAAAAAAAAAATTTATAAATTAATAAATTAGGTAATTATATTATTATAAATCGATTATTATCATTTTAAAATCAAAGTTCATTAATTCTATTTTTTTAACCAAATAGTTTAAAAAATATTATTACTTAATTTCATTGTTAAACATTTTCATAATAAGTTAGCCTTATAGACAGATTATTATGATTTTAACTTTTAATTGTGTCTAGATAATTATTACAAATTGACCCAACAGCTAAATTTAATTTGAGTTCAGTTATTAAATTATCATTATTAAACTTTTCTCCTATAATAAAATAGATTATACTAATGTATCAATTTACAAAACTATTTAATTAGTTAAAAGACATTAATCTGCATTTTATATTGTCAAAATGTAAAAATGAACATTAAATTAAAAATTCCAAAATTTAAACATTTTCTATCATATTTATTTTACAATTTTAATTATCTAAAAAATTTTAAAAACATAACTATAAATGTAATAAATTTTTATTGGTATGAAAAAAAAAATTTATGCTTTCATATTAAATAATTATAATAGATTTGAGTTGTATTATGTATCATATTATGATACACATGATGGGTATTAGGTTGTGTAGAATTTTTTTCATTTCTATGAAAACTATAGGCTCATATTATATATTTTTAGTATCTATAAATGTGTATAGTAATCAAATTATATATTTAATTCCAAGACTGGCTATTTATTTTATTTTTAATATTTGTTTTTTTCAGGTTGCCATTAAAATAATTGATAAGACACAACTAAATGAGGATAATTTGAAAAAAATATTTCGGGAAATTCAAATTATGTCAAAACTTAATCATCCACATATAGTGAGATTATTTCAGGTATTAATTTTTTTTATTTTGATCAAAGAAGAATGTGAAATATATGATATTATAGTAGCTTAGTTAAGTTATTTTAATAAGAATACATTTCGAAATACAAAACATTGATTATATTTTAATTGTTGCACTTAATTTATAATTATTATTATGTTATAATAAAATTCATGATTTGAGTACTGTATTTTATGAATAGTTGATGGAAGATAAAAAATATAATTGATATACAAAATAATACTTTCATCAAATTGCTACATCATAGTCTGATGTAGAAGCGTGCCCAGGATTTTGAAATGGGAAAGGTTTAAAGTAAATAAAAAAGGTCATCAGATAAAAAACCTATCTACACCTAACAATTTTTCTTAATCTGAGGGGGTGTTGACCGCTATTCTTCCTCCTGGGCATGCCACTGGTTTAATGTATTTAATTATAAACGAAACATTTTATACATTTACACTTTGTTCAAAATTTCATATTACATTTGATTTTTATTATTATTTTACACTTTTATTGAACATCAGTGATGAAGCTAAGGAGGTTCTAAGGATTTAACAGAAGAAATTATAAAATCCAAGTATTTTTAATTTTCTACCGCATGACCAAAGTTTTTTGTTTTATTACAATTTTACAAAGTACCTGCTGTAAAAGCTATGATATCTTAAAAACTAAAATATTTTTAATATTATCAATGATTGTATTATTTTTGATACAAACAATAATCTGTCAATAATAATCAGTTGATAATTAGAATTTGTATTACTTTATAAAAACTGATAGTGATATAGAAAATGTATATTTTATAATGTCGACATGTATTCATACCTTATTATTAATGTATAACTGTATCTATGCTATATACTTAATCTATTCATGAAACGATTACAGTTTTGGTATAAACAGCTTTGTTATCAAAATATCATTGTATAATTCAACTGTCATTATTTAAGTTTATATACTTTCTTTGTTTTTTATGATATTTTTTAATTATTTAATGATAACAGAGTAGAAATTGTATTAGAATTTATTAATAATTATTCCCAGTTTAGGAACTCAACATAATGTTTTAAAAATACTTTAAAATTTCAACCTAAACTATGTTTACAATAATCTATAAAACTTCTGAAAAAATAAAAATCTTAATCTGTAAACACAAAATTAAGGATAGACTATTTTGAACTTAGAAACTACTAAGACTAGTAAACAAGAAAAAATAAACTCACCTTGAAATTATCAGATTAAAATTGTAAATATTTATTAGCTAAAGACTAGGTAAATTAAATTGGTGTAATAGTTTTATAATTTTAAACAAATGACATCTTATGTAATATATTACATAGATAGAGTTGGATAGCTTAGATTAATTAGTCTTAAGTAATCATTAAATTTATAATTTTTCTTTTTTCTTTAATTTAATTATAAAAACTATTGCAGTTTAAAGTATAATAATTGTCACTAGTTTTATTTATATTTCTTTTTGAACGTAAATGTAGTAAATGTATCATAGTGATGGAGAGAGAGGATTCAAATAAACATTTATTTTGTGTAGTGTAGTGACTAATTGGTCAATGATGAATTTATAAATTCTTGGACATATATTATACTAATTATATTTTCATGAACAGTGATTTAATGTTGATTTTAATCTATTATATTTCGGTGATTACTACCTAATTTAATGATAATAATTATTTGGTAAAATTATTATCCATAATTGTAGTCCTTTTAAAAACTTTAGGAAAGAAACAAATAACCCATAAATAATTGAATGTATTAACTACTTAAATAATATTAACTATAGTGTTTTATGTATTGTTTATTTTATCTTTTATTGATTTATTTACAGGTAATGGAAACTGAAAAAATGATTTATCTGGTAACTGAATATGCTGCTGGAGGAGAAATTTTTGGTAAATAAAATTATAATGTATACTATTTATCTATTTGTATAATGTGGTTATATGCAGTGATGTGCGAAATCTATTTATTGTAATTGAAATTTTATTCATTGTTATTTTTACCCCCGTGAAAAGTGGGTAAATGTAGATGAAGCCCATTATTATCAGTACCAGGCATAACATTAATATTAGTTCATAGTTGAGGTATTATCTCTGAAAATAAATCTATTATGTATGTTGTAGTAAAACTGTTTTATCATTGTATACGCTCACATTTACATTTTAATAATCGTGATTCCATCCCATGTCAAAAATCATTGTTATTTTATATTTTGATTAAAATAAAGATTTTGTAGTTTACAATTAGCAATATACCAAACTTCAATTTTCATTAACTCAAACAATAAAGCTTAAAAATAAAATATAGATTTTATCAATTAGTTCAGCGGTTCTCAACCTTTTTTTTTGTTACGTAACCCTAAGTTTAATATTTCGCTAGATTTTACCCCTCATTATAATTTTTTAACTTTTTCACATGACTACTTTTAAAATATTCAAACAAAAAATTCTATGTTACGTTTTATACTCCAAAGCTATTAAGTAAGTTGATGGTTATATTTTAATTTGTAACACAAATTTTCCTTTTTAATAACATTTAATGAATCGATTTAAATAAACAAATTTAACATTTTCTGCCATTAGGTATTTTTTTTTCATGTACCCCTTGAAATCATCTTGTGTACCCCAGGTTGGGAACTACTGAATTAGATAATTAAGAGGACACCATACATGACATATGTCTTCGTCTTCCTAACATATTCCTAACATACAACATGGTAAAATTTCCTCATTAATACCAATTTTATGTATTTAGCTTCAATATTAGAGTGAAATGACATAATCAAACTTAAGGATATGAATATTATTTGTTTTTTACAATGTTTTAATCTTTAAATATTAATATTTTACATAAAATTAAAAATTTATGAGAGAACACAGATAATATTCTTATCCTTTAGTTTGATAGTAGGTCATTTCAGTCTAATATCTGAGCTAAACACACAAAATTAGTTCTTCTAGTGAGACAGAGACAACTTGTGTGAATGTGGCATCTCCTAAATTATTATTAAAATAGATAAAATACTTTTTCCCATTAAAAAGAAATATACCTAAATTTTAAGATAACATTTTATAAACCCTTACCTATTAACAATGTTGAGTTTCTGTTGGTATATTATTGCTAATCCCTGTTTATATAATTAATACTTTAACTTTTCTTTTTATGAATACTATACTTATGTATTGTTATCTATATTTAATCTGTATAATTTGAACGATTATTTTTATTCTTAATTGATTTAATTAATTAATTAAAATAAAAAGATTTTTGCTTTATTTTTATTATTTTGTTTTAAATATTAATTATCAATCATATCAGTTTGTTAACTTTATTCTAAAATAATTTATAGAATATAGAGTATAGAAAGATAATATAAGTTAATTTATTTTGTTTATTATTTTAATTCAATTTAGATTTCCTGGTAAAAAAAGGAAGAATGGATGAACCTGCTGCTTGTCATATTTTTAAACAAATTGTTGAAGCTGTTAGCTATTGTCATAATAAAAACATAGTTCATAGAGATTTGAAAGCAGAAAATTTGCTTTTAGACGCTGATAACAACATTAAACTTGCAGGTATTATTTATTATTAAATAAATTATGACATGAAAGAATGAATAACTATTGCTCTTTGTTAAAATTATTTAACTGTATTATTAAATTATTTAGATTTTGGATTTAGCAATCATTTTTACGAAGGAAAATTACTTTCTACTTGGTGTGGTTCTCCTCCTTATGCAGCACCAGAATTATTTCAAGGACAAGAATATGATGGACCAAAAGCTGATATTTGGGTAATAATTTTATTTACAATAATAAATTTATTAATATTCAAAATGTTTTGATCCAATTTCTACACTTATTTTATTTTTTTCACTTTTTAATAAAAATAAAATATGTAGTTAATTGATTATTTTTACAAATAATTTTAGATGATAACATAATATATTTTTACAGAGTTTAGGTGTAGTATTGTATGTTCTGGTTTGTGGTTCTCTTCCATTTGATGGAAATACTTTAAAAGTACTTCGTGCTAATGTTCTTTCTGGAATGTTTCGTGTGCCATACTTCATGTCAGCTGGTAAATAATAATAATAATACAAATCTAACAATAATATAATTTAAATAATATTTAAGCATTTTTTGTAGTATATTAAATAATATTTTAATTCTTATTTATAATATATACATTTTCTGGAGATTAATGTATTTGTTTAAAAAAATTAAAATAAATTATTAAACTTAGATTTTAAATTGTGTGTACTAAAATAAAATATTTATTCGTAATCCACTACATTATTAGCTTGCATTTTTACAAAATATCTTTTAAATTGACAATTCTATTTAATGAATTATGATTGCCTAAATTATCATTAGTATGTAAAATGTTTTAAACTACATTTCTCTTTAATATTTAATATTATTCAAGTATTAGGCACTTGTAATCTAAACGTATAAAAAAAAATTAGTACAATATTTGATTTTTTTTTTTTTTAATATTATAAATTTATTACAGTTACTTGTATCTGACATATAATTTATGCATATATCTAACTGTTTTATCCTAAATAATATTACTGCATTATTTAGTATCAATAATTGCTTGTTTTGTTATTTCTAATTTATGTTAGCATGTGAACATTTAATACGACATATGTTAGTCATTGAGCCTGAAAAGAGACTAAGTCTGAATCAAATAGAGTCTCATAAATGGATTAAACAGGTACCTAAGAATATATTAATTTATATTTTAACCATAGCTTTGAATTCTTGATTTTAATGTTAAAATTATATTTTACTTCTAGTTGTCTGAACCAATTACTAAAAGATTAACTGTGGATGTTAATCCAATGATGAATACAGCAGTAATAGAACTTATGTTACAGTTACCGGGTTTAGATAAAGATATGATTGTTAATGTAAGTGCTAATAAATTATCTTATTTTAAGAATTTTTTCAAGCTGTTTAAGCATTAAAAGTATAGACATTTTATTACTATACTGGTGTGCCTTAGTGCAGAGGTTCCCAAATTTTTTATTGTACGACCCATTTTGAAAACTTTTTAAAATATGGCGACCCACAATATCAATGAATGACCTTTTTTTTTTTTTTTATCATACAACAGAAAATTAAACTATTTTATTTATATTTTTGTATTATTTAAAAAAATAGCGCGACCCACAGTTTGGGAACCTCTGCCTTAGTGTATGTGATTCTTTTTGCCAAATCATTATTTTTGTACTTACTAGAACTTTTCTATGTGTAAGTCTCCTAAAAATTAAAAATTCCAAACCTTCTTAGTTTTATTGTTTCTTGGTACCATAACTCTCTGATGTATGTCTGATGTTTTATTCTTGATGTAGAAAACTTGTGTGTTTGAATAGTTAACCGCCAAAACCAGTGTAATTGTGACTGGTGCGCAATTAGTTGCAGTTTATTTTGATATTTTTACAATTTGTTTATAATTAAATAGACAAAATATTCTTAGTGAAAGATTAATTATATCTCTAGTTAAATCATATATTCATCCTATTGTTTAAAATAGATAATTAAAAATCAGTTAAACTAGTATAATTTTATTAAATTTGAAAAGTATTAGTATTTTATGTATTAATTGGATAGATCTTTATATTTTTTTAGTATAGAAAAAAAAATCAATTTTATTAAATTTATTACTGTTGTATTGATTTACTACTTTTAATTTCTGCTAAGAATAAAAATTGAAAATAATTTGTCATAATTAATGACTTTAATACTAATAACCATAAATAATAGGTACAATTTCTATTTGGTTGTTGCATTTTGTATCTTATCAATATTCTGTTTTTTGTTAAAAAAAAAAAACCTATTTTTTCATTCAAATTGAATTTGTTTTATTAGTCTGTTCAACAAAAAAAATTTGATCATGTCAGTGCAATTTACCATTTATTGGTTGATAAATTAGATACAACTGTTAATCAAAGCAACACTACTAATCAATCATTAGTTAATGAGACTAGTAAGTTTGCATTTGCATTTATTCATAAGTAAATCATGAACATTAAAAATAATGTATTTTAATTTTATATTTATAGATATAAATGGATCTGTTAATATCAATTCAAATCTAATTGAAAATTTGCCGCTATACTCTATGTCATTTTATGGCCAAGATGGTTCAATTTATGATAGCCAGCAATTAGAAAAGGTATTTTATAAAATATTCTTTTTTGTTATTTTTACTTCAATATACTTGGTGTTTTATATGGTTTCAATTAAAAAAAAAATTACAGTATGGTGATGTTGATATTGGAGAATCTGCTAGTTCAAATAAGGCTCAAGATAATCATCCAGTGACTACTCGTCGCCATACCGTTGGTCCAGGAAATGGTTTGATGACTCAAGTAACAAATATCTTTTATTATGTAACTTATGAATCTAAATTTTCTTTATTTTATTATGTTAATGGATTTATTTTAGTTATTCTATTGAATTATTAGTATTACTAAGAATATTAACTCAATTTTTTTAATGCTATGTTTCACTACAATGATAAAATATGATTTTAAATTTAAAAACTTAAAACATTCATAAGAATGAATTCAATCAATAAATATAATTATATTCTTTATAAATTTAAATTATTTATAATGAGAAAAAAATACGTCTTTATATTTTTAGAGATATTAACTCATTTTCTTATATTATGTACATAATTATTCTCTGATTTAATAAATACATTATTTTAGGTAATGGAATCACATTACATAACACATCTTCAAACAGGACGTAATGTAAATGTTTTGCCTAATACAAATTTACCTTTGAATATTCCACTAGTTGAATTTCAGTCTCCTAAAAATTTTACAATTAAAGATCAACATTTATTAAAACCACCTCAAGTTATGGGAGCAAGTAATATAAGATTTAAAAGAAGTTACCATGGAAAATGTATTTTGTACATATTATTTTTTAGATAACAACTTTGGTAGACGTGCATCAGATGGTGGGGCAAATTTACAAATGTCACAAAAAATGAATTGTACATTCAGTGAACCAAGTAGCAAGGAAGATTTAAAAAAAGTAAATAACAACAAAACTATTTTTTTATTTTTATAATGATTAATTGCTTTTGCATATTACACTGTTATCATGTGTATTGGTTAAGATTATTCCAAAATTTTCAAATCATAATTTATTTTATTTTGTGAATAGCAGATGAAAATTGATCCAAATGATTTAAGAAACGCAATAATTGATCAATCGAGTAAAGGAAACTTATTATCTGAAGAAAATGCTGTATCAACTAGTTCTAGGTATAATTAAATATATTATGTTTAGCTATTTATTTTTTTAATTTTCTAAACTTCTACAGTTGTACTTTACTGTTAATATTTATTATGCTAATACTTGCAGTCGTTATACAAAAGTAATGTGTAATACCTCTAGACATGGAATGGGAAATAAAGAAGAAGCTCAGGCCCAGCAAACAAATTTACAAAATACAAGAACTAGACGTAGTGGAGTATCAACTGTAATGGATAGACCCCCAGGTATATTATTTATTGTATAAAATATTGTGTTCCTTTTTTTAAATTGCTTGAGATTTGAAATTTAAGTCTTACTTAATTTATATTACTTCACTATACATTATACTCTTGTTGTAAGTACTTATTAATTTAATTATAATTCATTTAAATTTATTATTATAATAATTTTTATCATCATTGTTTTATAAATATTATATATTATATATCATACCATTTTTATTTATAAATTACAACTAAAATTTTCAATTTTAAATTTAAAAAAAAATGTCATATGAGTTTTCCTGATTATTTACTTTGTGAAATAACTTGAGCAAAGCAATTTTTAAATTTACAACCAAATATGCTATAAAAGGACTTTAGAAAAAAGTAAGTCACTCATTTAATATTTTTTATTTATTTTTTTCTGTAGTATTTTGATTTAATAATATTTAGTTTTCTTTCTTTCTGTGACAAGTTTAGAATTTTTTTCTTCTTTTTTTTTTTTTTTTTTGTGTGTATGTTTAATCTGCATTATAACCTATTCGTTGTTAGATTTGCATTAAATAGCATTGTGGTATTGGATTTGATGTGTAGTATAGCTTAAAATTTTATTGTTATTTTTTTGTTCTTTTTTTAGCTAACACATTAAGATTTTTTGAGAAAGAGAGAGTGCTACAGTAACAAATTTTTACTAAAAATATTCTATATTATTATTTATTCATGAGTCTTTCAATAATAAATTTATTTCAAATAATTACTGAAAAAAAAATTAGCTTGTTCATATTAAGATATTTAATCAATTTCAACCAGTATAAAATAGGTTTATTTAGATTCTATAGAACATTTATTTTAGTTAATAATTTTGTTATGAAGAAGAAAGTATCATTATACTAGAACTATGTTATATTGTTGTTCCATTAATATGAACACAATTTATTTAATTTTTCAATAATTGAAACATCTTTTTAAAATTTTTAATTTAAATTTCTTATCAAAATACCTTATATCAATTTAATTAAAAACTGTTACTGTTAAGGTCTCTTTATTAGTAGTTTGTTTCCATTGCTTATTTTTTTTTTCAAAGTCATTAGTCCTGAAGTGGTACGTGAAGTAGAAGCACGTATGAATCGAGAGTATATACCACCACCATTACCAATGGTCAGCACTTCTAGACATAGTCATCGTATATCTCAGGTTTCAGTTTTACCAACAGTTCAAGAACTACATAGACATTCAGGTATCATGGTATTTTATTTTCTAATGAGTATCTAGGATCTGAGGACATATTTATTTTTTTTTGTTATTTAATAATTTTTGTAATTTATGAAAAAGTTTTCAATATTATTTAATTAGGTCGAGAAAGTTTAAAAGATGTAAGTGGTTATTTGCCATCTGAACGATATAGTCCTGTGCGTAGAACAAGTGAACCAGTTGTTACATCTAGTGAACATCTAGAGCAACCTAATATACGTAATATTCAACAGGAACATATTCAACTTCAAGTAAATTTAACTGATCTTTCTTATAAATTCAATGTTAATATTTAATGTGTTCCTTAATAATAGCAAAAATTGAGTGAAAACACATTAGATACTTGGGATCATGCTGAATTACAAATGCTTCATACATATCATTTACAAAGTCTACAGACATTAGTAGATCAAACTCCATTCATAAATGCAACTGCTAATCATCAGGGTATTAAACAAATCTTTTATGTTTACATTTTGTGTAATACCATTAATTTTGAACTATAACATTTTTTTTCTCAGGTAATTCAAATATTCTTAGCCAACATTTGCAAAATTTAAATTTACATCAAGCGCCTTTAGTTAATGTTCCACAAACCCAAGGTAAGAATTTTTAGAATTTTTAATATTTAAAATTTTTAAAATTGTTGGTAAAAATAATTTTAAATGCTCATTAAAGTAATGTTAAGTTAATATTTAATAGGAGCTTAGATAACTTATTTATTTAGGCATTATTATTTTTTATCATACTTTATGAGTCATTTGAATAATTATTTATAATTAATAATTAAGAATCACCTTACCTGTAAGCACTTACCAATTAAATTGTATGCATCTTTAAGTATAACAATGGTTACGCATGTCTATAGTTAAGACTCATAAATTATGACAGGGATGACTCAATGCAAAATACTTTTATTGTCCAATATAAGTTGTAAGAGAGCTTCGCTTTCCCCTACACCACTCTTATTCGAAATTTATAAAAAATATTTATACATCAATAATCAGTAAGGTATGTTTAAAACTTAACAATTTGTATTAGTTAAATCTATGAAAATTGATTTCATATCTTTGTCTATGAATAGGGTTAATACCCTAGATTAAACTATTGTAGTATTATATCAACTCAAAATTATAACAAATTGCCCAAACATAACGTACCCAATGTATCACAGGCAATGGTCAATATAATACACGCATAACAAAATTGATAATTATATCATTAGTGACCAAAATAAATATTCTAATAGAATGTGGTATTTTTATTCTCTCGTGACTGTATTTTCATCAAAGTACGAATGTTTCTCTTAATAGGTATTTAAAATTTTTTATACGTTTTTTACTATTTTGGCCATAATTAAAGACATCAATTATGAATCAACAACAAAGAAATTTTTGAATTAAATTATTTATTTATTTTAAAACTCCAATTTATTAAAAAGTATTTTCTAAAGTAATGCATTTGCAAACCAGCTCCCTCCTTTCCCAGGTGTCTGAGTTATGAGTCTTAAATGTTTCATTTCATTATTGGTCAATTGATTACATACTAAATGTTTGTCTTTTTAAAAACTATTCATATTTATTTATGTATGAATGTTATGTATGTAAAATTATACAGCTTAATTCAATTTAGTTTTTTTATGAAACTTTTTTTTAGTATATTAGATTTTGGTAACAACCAATATTTTTTATCAATTATATTTGTATTTTATGAAAAATGATTGTCAATTTACTTGGAATAATATTTATAACTTAAAATTTTCAAACCCTTAAGTTCATATTAAAATAATCAACATAATTTTTTTTTAAATAATGTTTTATTTTGTTTTAACTTATAGGTTCAATTACTCAAGGTACTCCAAATATAATGTCTAATCAAATTCCAGTTCCATTGGACTTACGAACAAATAATAAAATAAATCCTCAACCAACTATTGTAGTAGAAGATAAAACACTAGGTTAGTATTATTTATGCTTAATATATTTTAGAGATACACTGGGAATATTTAAATTGATTAAATGTGTATAATTAATAATTATTATTATAATAATTTCTAAGTAAATTAATTAATATTTTCTGTCATTAATGTCTTAATGATCTAATTCTATTTTTTTTTCAAAATATTCTATATTATTTAAACTTAACATACATGTTTGTCTCTGCACTTATCTTCCAATTATATGGGATCATCTTTGTTATACATAGATATAATTAATATTTTTCAATTGATTGTTAAAAATATGAAATATAATTATAGAAATAGATTAAAGTAAAATTCCAAAAATATTCATCCAGTGTAAAAAAACAATGTTAACTTTTTACCACCTTAGAGATATAGTTAGAGTAAAATTAATTTTTGTATCATACCTCCAAAATTAGATATATATACTCACTAAAATTTCAAGTCTAGCGGTCTAGCGGTTTTGCTGGGTGTTAATGAATGAATGAATGAGTGTATCAGACATATTTCTTTATATGTATATTGATACATTTAGATTATTATTTTTTAATCTTATTAAATTTTTGTTACTATTATAGTTTCATACTCTAATATTTAATTTTTATGATATTAACATTTAAATATTACAGATTTATTTATTTACTTTTAGAAATTTGTGAAAAAAAACTTCCAAATCCAGAAATATCACTTATGATAACTAATGAAGAAGGTGGTATGATGGAAGTTGACACATTGCTGACAAATTCGGTGAATTCCGTGAATACAGGTAATACTTTACTAAGAAAGTCAAGTACTGATCAACCACTTTCAGCTATACATGACGATTATGAAGAAATCAATCATATAACTGCTGATAGAAATAATATTATAACTGATATGGACTCATCAACTTGTTTGAAAACTGCTCCACTTTTTTCTGACTATATTCTTAAAAGAACAGCTAGCGATGCATTTGTTGTGGACTTGTCTGATTTCTATTCCAATTTCACCTCTGGTAATATACTCAACATTGTCAAATATTTGATATCGTCCAACATTCGGGTATGGCCTGTGCTAGATAGACAAAATGTGTTACAATTTCCAACAGGCTTGCAAATTGAACTGGAAGTATGTTCAAACGATATGGGTGCCAATTCATATTTAAAAATTCAACGACTCTCTGGAGATTCAACAGAGTACAATAATATTTGTCATAGGCTGGTCGAAGACTATTTACCTTGTAATAAATAATATTGTTAATCATTATATTATTTTTAATCTTTTCATGGCTGTGCTACTTTTGTGAATGCAATTAATTAATATTAGTCATTAGTTTTAATAAGCATCTTTCGTTATTAGAATTTATTAACAAAGACCTTAATCATGCAGTTGTGAATTATAACTAATCATCTTTATCTTATACGGACTGATTTCAATATAAATTATATATTTTACCTAACTCTTGTTTGATATTTTCATTTAAACAATTATATTTTATAAATTTTTTAATTTAATGTGCGTTTGTAAAGTGGCAGCACAAAATATATTCTATTTGTTCTATTCCAATATCTATGTAATCAAATATATTGTATATTTAGCTAATAAATGTGAAAGCTGTTATTGTATATTTATTTTCAATTGTTAAATTAATTTTATCATATTGTTAACTCGTTTTTTTTCTTAATTTTTAGTTATATGTCTTAAGGCATGTGACAGTAAAATTAATGTGTATTAGAATAGAATATTACATAGTTATAGCAAACATTTTTTTTAGGATAATTAATCAAGTCTTGATCAAAACCGTATTATACTCGCAATAAATGTTATCAAATTTCATAACTCATGTCAGTTCAGAAGTTTTAAAAAAGTATCTACTAAAACTTGTATATATTGTTGTTTTTTAAAAAAAAGTTTTGTTTATATTTGGTATTTTAAATTTTTACTTCTGGGCTGTACGAGTATTTTCAATACTCCAATATTGATTCGTTGGTACTTGTTATTATTTTTTTACTTTTTTATTTTTTTTTTTTTTATTTAAAAAAAAAATGTTTATTGTGATCTTTTTATTGTTATTTTATTATATTTTTTCGCAGTTTACTGTGATCTATGAACCATGTTTACCACCATTGGCTATATTAATAATTTTACCTTATTCTAACTTAATAGTTTACATTACTGTATAGTCTATAAATATTTATATAATATGTGTGTGCTCAATATTAATGTTGTGTACATGTTATTTGTTGTTAATATTATTATTATTATTATTATTATTATTATCATAATTTTTTTTTTTTTTTTTTTTGTGTACTACGATGTTATAAATTGAATACTAAACTTCTAAGCTCAATGCCAATGTTGTGGGCATGTTCATTGTTATTATCTATACATTCCATTATGTAAGTATAGAATATTGTGATAGACTAATTAATCAAATACTATAAATATAATTTTTTTTTTTTTTTTTTTGTTTAATTTAAATGCATCCGGCAATGCACTTTTGTTAAGAAAAATGTAAAAAAATTTAAGCCATTACATACATATAAAATGTACCATTATAATTTTAATATTAATATGTTTATAACCATATATTAAATGGAAGACAATATACAAAAATAATTTATCAACCAATAAATGGATGAACATTAATAATAGAATTATTCATTAACCATACATTAATTTTTTTTATTTTTCAAACCAAATGAGATTTTTACGTACTAGAATAGTAAATGTAAAAAAAAAAAAATTTGATCATCTGAACACCATCAATAACTCACTATAGCATACATAAGTATAGCATGTATAAGTAAATAAATAAATAAATAAATGTACAACCAAGTAATTGATTTTTAACGATTTCAATTTAGTGATGGATCCCCGTTTAATTTGAATGTTCTAAGTTGCTTATATTTGTATCTACTCAATTAAATTGGATACAATATTTTACCCGTGCAAACACGTTTTGTCAATGTTGTCCAAGATACTGAAGGTGGCTGTTCAACCAACTCTGGGAGATAATGTTTCACTGTTGCCCACCATGAATCTGCAACTATTGTAGTGTTCAAAACCACTGTACTCGAGTTTTCATTGTTGACTATGTTCATTTTTATTATACCTGTTAGAATTTTTATTTCTTAATAATATTTTAAGGTCGTTTTAACAATATTCATAATTTTATTTTTTCAAGATCAATAGGCCATAATGTTACATGTGAATTAAATACTGACCTGCAGAACTGCTCGGCTTAACAAACCATATCAACGTCGTGTACACGGGAAGAACTTGCAGCACATACCTTAACCTTATTAATATCCCTTTAGCCATAACCATTATTGTTCGCATCTACATAAAAATTAAATAAAAAAGTTAAATATTATGTCAATATTAAACAATGTTGTGTCTTACGTACAACTACGAATACAATGTAGTAGATCAAAGTTGTTGGTAATAGAAACAACAATATTGCAAATGATATGGTTCCAACATATAATTGTTGTGTAGTATATGGTGTAGTCCTTCCTGGCTGTGGATTACAACTTCTTCCCACAAAAAGTTTTGCCAATATCATGAGACTCTTACGTTGTAAATTATATAGCCTATTAAACATTTACATTACAAATTATGAATATTATTTTATTCCTATTTGTATAAACTGAATATAAAAATAACATGTTCTTAATGTAAAAAATCACTAATGTATAAAAATTTGAGACAGAAATACTATCTAATATATAAATATATTCATTACCAAATTCAATAAAAACTACCATTTATAAAATTAAACATGGTAAAAATAATTATGTATATTATTAAAGTTATGCAACATTTAAATATAAATAAGTTTTTCTATAAAAAAACATTTTATTTTTTGATATTAATGCTATATAACCAGCAAACTATCGAGCACAGAACTACAAACTATTTTATACTTGAGGCTAATTATAATTTTTAAATTGAAAAAAACTAATTGCTGCCATCCAGAGGTTAGGTAAAGATTTTATAATCTAAGTAAACCATATTAACTATCATAAATGTCTGTAGCCAACTTACTAATTATCTGTTATTAGCTTTTAAAATAGCCACAACAATAACTCATCCAATTCCTGTACGATTAATTTTTTTTTTATAGTTTTAAGGAATTTTAGAGCAATAATTGTATTTTGAATTTAATTAATAATTAATAATAATATTTTTTTTTAAAAAAACTCAACATTTTATTGTAAATATTGTATTAAATATTTTTGAATTGTAATATAGCTTTTGTTCAGTTATAAATCTATGTTTTGATAATAACAACATCTTAGTATTTTAAGTAATTAAATCATTAATTTCATTTTTTTTCCTTTTTTATAAACACCAAATTATACTTGTCATAATATGATGGATATTTTAATTCAATAACAGTATTAAAATCATGGAATTTAATATTGATAAATTTATATATAAAACCTAAGAATTATAGTTCACAGATCAATTATTTTTTTACAGATATTTTGACTTAAAAACATATTATGTCATTGTATAGAATATACTCCATGAGTTAAGTTTGTTAATGTTATTAATACAAAAATATTAAATTTGGAGTCAATATTTAAATTCTTTTTTTAATTCTTATTAATTAATCAAATGTTTTATGACTTAAAAAACCAATATTAATGAATTATTGAGCTATTCTTTTGATTTTGCCCATTGTTCAAAAAAGCAAATTATATTAAAAAAAAAAAAATGAAATACTAAAATATTATTTTAAAATTTAAATAAATATATTGAACATAATGTTTGATTTTTCGATTGAAGATTTTTAATTTTATATTTCAAAGGATAATATTATTTGATGTATAAAACTCAAAATTTAGACACGTATTTAATTAGTAGTAAGTTATAAATTAATAACATAAGAAAATTCAATAAAGGTTTCACATAAGTTGTTATTACTGAAATTAAAGAATAAAATTAACCATAATTTTATAAATATTAAATTAACCTACCTTAAAATAAATTAAACAGCAATATCTAAAAACATATAAAATAAACTTAGTAATATATGCTAACAGACCTATAGCTGGTTTTCACTCGGAATCATTTGATACATGAAATAATTTATTAATAAATTCAAATTTAACACATACATTACATTGACAAGGTGCACTCAAAACCTACTGAACAGTAAATTAATTAGTTATCTATTATATTTTATGAAAGAGGGCTGTTATATCTTTTCTTATTTAATCTGTATAAATATTCACTCTAAATTTCTAACAAGTAATATATTTACAAATGGTTTATAATAAATACAAATTAAAGTTTTTTATTAATATTTACAGTAGGGTCTCATTAATCTGAACAAGATTGCAAAAAGGGATCATTCAGATGAACGATTTTTTCAGATTACTTATGACTTGTTTTTGAAAAACACAATAAATACTATCAAAACTAATAAAATCATTATAATTATGTATAAATAGCCAGTTATTAAGAACATATAAATATATTGCATATTATTATAAATTATGATACACGTGTGTGTTAGTATAGCGATGTAGCAATTTCCAAGCCCGTTCTGATTAACGAGACCTTATTGTATAACCAACAAATTTAGTTTGTATTATAATACAAATATTCGTCTTTTAAATATATTGTCATTTTTTAATAAAATAACTACATCTTTTTCAAATTGATGATAGCCAAATTTGAGAAACACTTTAATAGCATATAAACATCCAGTGAAATAAAAAAAATATTCTTACCAAATGAAAATTTTTAAAATTTGTGCTGCCTACCATTTACTCACATAACTGTGTTGTTTTAAAATAATTTACTATCAAATTCATTTACTAGACAGAAAAAGTCAGTCTAATTCATCAAAGTAATCAAATATTGTCAATATTGTTGAATAAGTTATTAACCTAATTATTGATTGTATGTATTAGCAATGATATATTTATTTTATAAAATCGTCAACTTTTAATATGGATTTAATATTATCAAAAATAAACAGTTTCTGATTTTTTGTAAAATGTATACTATAAATATGTTACATAGGTACTACTATTGTACTAATACATAATTAGTGATTGGAACTATATTAAACAATTTGTAATTTGTCTTATTTTGTGTAATTTTAATGTTTATAGTTTATATGTTCATACTATTTAATAATAAGAAAGTACAATACTACAAAATTTAACACAAAAAGTTAAAAGGTAGAACTTGACTGTATACTTCGGTCAGTAACTGACGTTCACTACTTATTTCAAAATTAATTATTATGATTCATATTTAAATATGTAGGTACTAGCTTTAAAAAAACATAACACAATATTATTCAATATCAAAGCATACATATGGATTGCATCACTGATTAATGATTAAAAATAAACATTTAAGTTTTAAGTAATATGTTAGAAATATTTAAGTAACACAATTTAACCTATATAGGAATCAAAATGGAATAACCTAGATATTTCTACAATTAAACATAATATTTAAGATGAAAAAAATGTCTATAGTTATGAAATTTCGATAGTTAGCTGGTAAATTTATTTAAAATTTGGTAGGTAATTAATTTTGAATTAATATATTTTTTAAATAATAAAATTATTTTTTGAATTTGTTAAACTATTCAACTTGAAGCAAATTTAAGAATTTGGATTTACTTTTACAAGAAGATTTTGATTAAAATATAATAATCCAATTTCACCATTTTATAATTTTTTTAAACCAAGATAATTAAGATTTTTTATTTTTAAATACAAAAAAAAAATAACCTCACCATGCTGCATATACATAAATGCAATAAACATGAAAACTGACTATTGCCAATACATCTTCTATGATTGCTATTTGGTAAGATAATCCAAAAATACCAATGAAAACATAAACTTGAAACGTTAACTCCAAGAATGGTCGACATAATACTGTAAATAGAGATAAAAGTTTAATTATTATATTTTTATATTTTTGTATTAACTATTTAGTTTTTAATGATAAAAAAAAATAAATAATTTAAATATATGTGACACTATCCATAGTTAAGTAGTCTATAAACAATATTATATAAAAAAAATAACACTTGATCTACTATAAATAAAAAACTTGATCCTCCAAGTCATAAAACAAATAAATGTATATTTTATGTATATTTAATATGACCAGTAAAAATTACTGCTATATTACAGTAATTATAAAATAATTAGTTCAATTTAGATATTATTGCTTACTATATAAAATAATTATAATTTCAATGTTAAAATATATTGAACCAAAAATAAATTTTATTTTTGATCATAAATATGAAATAATCTGAAAAATACCTATACTAATTCTGTTGTAAATAAGTAGAAATTGACTCAATTAGATTTTTTTTTTTAATATTATAACATAAGATTTATAGCTCAAATTTAGAAATATTGGTGTTTCATTTATATAATAGCATCAGTTAATCTTCATTACTAGTAAATAAATATAGGTACTAAGTAAATAATTTGCATTTTATATAAAAAAAACCAATTTTTATCACCATACAAAGAAACAAAATATATGTCTTTTACTGCAATGAGTATATCTAAATAATAAAAATGTTAAATTATTTATTTCTTATTGTGTTTTATGCTTGATTAATAATTAGTTTAAACCAAAGCACCTTAATATTAAATATACATTACCTACCTAAAAATGACCACCAGAGATTGACTAAATAAAGAAAACATGTTCCAAGTAAACTGTTAAGAGGATCATTGAGTTTTAACCCAGCTGGACTCCCCATAAGCCATTGCAACGTACCCTGTAGCACTTTAATCACATGCTGTAAATTAAAACAACTATTTTAAGTAAAATAAATTTCTACAAATATTTTAAATTTATTTACGTGTGAAATACTTGAAATGTAGGAAAATAGTTCATTTGACGAAGTAAATGTAGTATTAAGAATATACAGAATTATTATTCCAAGAACTGCATCACAAATACATGACATCATGTAATTAATTGATTTTGCTCTTGATAAAATGTGTTTATTGTGAGTGAGATTGTCTATGAGCCACACGTAATTTTTGATTACACTCAATATGTGTTTAAATAGTGTCAATCGTAATATTGTAAATTGTACAATCTTTGTTTCAAGACTGCTTATAAGTACATTAAGGACAATCAACAAATATTTAATAAATCTCTGAAATATTACAACTTCTGATAGATGATACTGTCTCTGAACATTTTCTGCACTGGATAGCCATTTTGACAGCATTATGAAACAAATAAATTTCTGTGATTCACCTTCATATTTGAATAGAGTCCCATAGTCATACAGTCTTGAAGCATCATAAATTACCAGAACAAAATTGTCAAGTTGTCCTGGTGACAAACTGGCATTTAAATTTCCATTGATTTCAGTTATGCACAAAATGTTAGTGGCTGTACGTTTGAAACAGACCCGACATTCAGTCCTGGTAAAATGGCCTATTGTGTTCACTTTACATCCTGTATTGGTGTTTTTAATATAATTAGGAACTACAAAATAATACTTGACATTTTTCATAAGCTTGATGAATCCTAATAGTTCAACAGTAATGTCACTCGTCCCCAATAACGTTTTAGGGAAAAAAATCACTTGTTTATTTTCCATCTTACAAATTCAGGAAATAACACTATTGACTCGAGTGTTTATGTCATGGTTTGTAATAATCAAAACCGTTCTCCATTGTGGAATGTTAATGACTAATGAGTTAATGGATAGTTAAATTACATTGAGTAGCTACAATATTCAAAATTAAAAATCGGATACGAATAATTAGGAATAATACGATTGCGATCAATAATACTAGTTTTGTTGTTATCTAAATCAGGCGTCTTATCATTTGTCTTGTCCCATGGTGTTATCATCTACCTCGAGTAAGTAATAGATAATGAAAAAAAAAAAAACCACAAAAAATATAAACAATACGAGTTGTTACAACTGTCAACTACCGAACTACCTCAATTTAACCGGAATCTTTGCGTTTCACCAAATACTGATGACATTTTCAATACTCTAATAATTTCACTAAATCTATGCAAACTGAAATCGTACTTAGTAAATACTCTCCTCTTCACCACATCAAAAGAAAATATTTTAAATATTTGAATACACTACGCATCGCGACTTGTACAGAAAAATTCAATTGGGATTCATGAAGTACGCCTCGGACAATATTATACAATATTGCATCTCAGTCCGCGGTGAACACATTCTAATTAATAGTTATCTATTCATAATATTGAACCACTACTCTAGACCATACGTGATGTTGCATTACTATCCAAACATTCCAAACTTGTCAGATTGTTGTGAAATCACGTCTTATCATATGTTCTTATCTTATTCTTATCTTCAGTAACACGGTTTGTATCATTATTCGTGTTAGTTGTTCGATTGACATGTCAGCAAAGCCAATGCAATGCACAGGCATAGCTTTAGAAGGAATTTTTTTTAAATTTTTCCCTAACAGGGACCGGTAACCGTTAGTATTCGATTTTAAATGCCTAAATTTAAGTAGTAACACCCTATTATCACTAAGAATGTACACAAATTAAATATACATCACGTTCTACATTGTTGGAATAAAACAATAACACTAAATAACGATGGAAAAGCAAACCGATGACCGATCTGTCAAATCCAAAAATAAGAAACAGACAAGAAAAAAGAACAAGGTTGAAAATACTGAAAACCAGGTTTGTTATCATGATATTTTAATATGAGTTTAGATAGCTGTGTACTAGAAGTATCAACATTAAACACAAATCTAAAACAGAATTGTGGTTGATGAAATTATGGAAATTTATATTATATAATGAGAATTTATACAACAATTCAACTATTCCAATTGGAAGTTTAAGACTAAATTAAAATAATACTAGAGTAATTATTGTTGAAACATTTTTATAATTTATAATGTTGTAAATGTTTGTTTTATAAAACTTATTTTGTGATCCTTGCTAACAACTTACATTCTAATTATGATCAAATAAAACTATCAATTTATGTACTTAAAAGAATCTTATGAATCCTGCTTTTCTAGGAAAAAGAACTTGAATGTATAATTAAAAACCATGAAATCAATGAACAAAAAATAATCAACAAACAAAAGTTTAACAACGAACAAAAATTAATCAACAAACAAAAATTAATCGACGATCAAAAACCTGATATATTTAACAATTTTAAGATTAGTATTGAAATAAATATATTGGCAGTAATACTGTTTATGTCAGCTCTGTCATCAAGATTTTTTAAACTTGACCAACCTCGCAATGTTGTGTAAGAGTATTTACTTATGACATGTATAAATTAATATATACATATTTATTTTGTCTTGCATATTTTTCTAAAATACAGGTTTGATGAGCTTCACCACGGAAAATATGTTAGTTTATATATGAAGCGAACATTTTTCTTTGACACTCATCCACCTCTTGGAAAGCAATTAATAGCAGCTGTTGCATATTTATATAATTACAATGGTATGTTCTTTCCTATGATTAATTTCATATAATGTTTTACTCAGTATTTATTTTATTTCATATGTAATATAATACTACAATACAGAATAAAAAATAATTTCTACTTCATTAAATCTAAAATAAATATTTCACCAAATTTTAATATAATTTATAATTTAATGAAATAAATAAAATTTGTTGGGTGTTTTTTATTTTAAGTTTTAATCAATGTTATATATGAATATGTTAATTAGGTCAATTTAAATTTGAAAGAATTGGAAGTGAATTTAGTAATGAAGTCCCATTATTTGGTTTGCGTTTTGTACCAGCATTATGCGGTAGTTTGATTATTCCTGTTGCATATCAATTAATGTTGGAACTAGGTTGTCGACACTGGTGTGCTGCTCTTGCTGCATTTCTTCTCCTTTGTGGTAATTTATTTTTATTTTTTTATTATTAATAACTAATTAAAATTCCTTTTTTTAGAAAACACATTATTAACACAATCTCGATTCATTTTGATGGAGTCTATACTAATATTTTTTACATTATGTGGATTGTTATTTGTATTAAAGTATAAAAGACTGAATATGAAATCACCTTGGGCATTGACTTACTTAGTTATTGCTTCTATTTGTCTAACTATGGCCACATGGTAAAATTTAATAGTAATTATATTATTATTTATTACATGTATATTATAAAGTAGCTTATAATATATTATTTTTTATAGTGTGAAGTATGTTGGACTTCTCTCGTGGTTTTTGAGCTTATGGATAATCTGTAGAGATTTCTGGGTTAACCATTTAGGTGATAAGCGTCTATCAGATTTTACTATTTTCTTATGTGTAGTATTAAGATGTATTATTACATTTTCAATATCCATTGCAATTTATTTTTCTGTATTTTTTATTCACCTCATAATTTTGAATAAAGCAGGACCACATGATAGTGTTATGACAAGCGCTTTTCAAGCTAGTCTAGAAGTAGGTTTTTATTTTTTATAATAGGTCTATTATTTTTTAAATAAATTATTTTTTTTTTTTTTTTAGGGTGGACTAGCATCTATTACCAAAGGTCAACCTTTGCATGTTTCGCATGGATCACAAATAACATTACGGCATACACATGGAAGGACATGTTGGCTTCACTCACATACTCATGTTTATCCTATTAAATACGCTGATAAGCGAGGAAGTTCTCATCAGCAACAAGTTACATGCTATACATTTAAGGTAATTGTATATATAATTTTCTGAACAAATTGTTTCATTACTCTTTACATAGTTAAAAATCAATGCTATATTATAGGTTCATAATTTTTAACATTTTAATAATTATTGTATACAGGATGTAAATAATTGGTGGATAGTTAAAAGACCAGAAAGAAACACATTAGCAGTAGAAAATACAAAGAACCCAGATGGTATAAAACATGGTGATATTATTCAGTTGGTACATGGAATGACAAGTCGTGCTTTAAATTCTCATGATGTTGCAGCACCTGTATCACCACAAAATCAAGTATATTTTTTATTTAAACTAAACCATTTATTGCCAAATTGCATAAAAAAAAACACTAAATATTTAATGAAACAATAGTGAGATTATGGTCTGATCCTATAAATTTTAGTAAATTATTAAATTAATCAATTTTTATGCTACTAAGTATATATGTGTGAAATCTAAAAAAAATTATTGCAAAAGATCATACGTTTTATAATTGTATTGTTTTAGGAAGTATCATGTTACATTGATTACAATGTTTCTATGCCTGCTCAAAATTTATGGAAAGTGGAAATAATTAATCGTGATCAATTTGGAGATGTCTGGCAAGCTATTAATTCACAAGTATATTTATTTACTTATTTATTTATTTATTAAAAAAAAAAAATTGTAATTTATTTTACTTTTATGATCTAAAGGTAATACTAATTCATTTAAATTCAACACAAGCATTGAAGTTTAGTGGTAGACAGTTACCAGATTGGGGATTTAATCAACATGAAGTGGTTACAGATAAAATAATATTTCAAGATGATACTGTATGGAATGTCGAAGAACATCGCTATACTAAAAGTAATAAAATTATTTTGTTAATTATTTGAAGTATATAACATTTCTCTGTAAAAATAATTTTGGTTTAGGTGAAAATGAAAAAGAAAGAGAACGAGAACTTGTTGCCGCTGAAATGATACCATCAAAAGGAACAAAATTGGGACTTTGGGAAAGATTTTGGGAATTACAATATAAAATTATATTTGCTTCACCAAATACGCAAAATGTTCATTCGCATATGTATAGTAGTGAACCTCTTGATTGGCCATTAATGGTTCGAGGAGTTGCCTACTGGTTAAGTGAACATGATAATGTAAGTTAATTTAATTTGATACATATCATTGTATGTATAATTATTAATTATTGTTTAAAATTATACAACAGGGACAAATTCATCTGTTGGGAAACATTGTCGTATGGTATTCATCTACATTATGTCTATTGTTATATATATCATTCTTTGTATTTTATTTACTGCGCCAAAGAAGACAAATTTATGATTTATCTTTAGGTAAATAATTTAATATTTTATAAATCGTATTCATATTGTTTAACTATTTTTTTTAATTATTTACTAGATGAATGGGAACAATTCAAAACAATTGGAGAAGTGTTAGTAGTTGGATATGGCTTGCATTATATTCCATATTTTTTTATTGACCGTACATTATTTTTACATCATTATTTGCCTGCTCTTGTATTTAAGATATTACTATGTGCTGCATTTCTACAACACCTAGCAAATACTGTTAAGTATGTTATTTAAAATACATTTATTAATTAATATAATATAATTTATATTATTATGTTTATTTGCAGAACAAAATTGGTCCCGAGATTTATTTTTCATTTAAGTCTTTGCATATGGATTTTAAGTGTTATGTATGTATTTAAAAAGTTTATTGTCTTTAGTTATGGAACTACTCCTTTAACATCTAAAGAAGTTTTTAAACTACGTTGGAAAGATACTTGGGACTTCATAATTCATAAACCATAAGTGTAATAATTTGGTGATTATACTAATAAGTTACTTAACTGATAGATTTTCTTTGACAAAAGATGTTAATCAGCATTTTGTTTAAATCTTAGTGTCTTTTATTATTTTAAAATATGCTTCATGTTACATCCACTATTATGTTCATTAGTTATTACAAGTTTTTTTATTAAATAAAAAGTATATTAATAAAAGAAGACATCACATCTGCATGTGTTGCATGTGTATACTCAAGATAGGAGCTTATAAATAATTTTAAATGCTCATAATAGCCAAAAATATCAATAAAAAAACTCCAACAATACATCACCGATGATATTCTAAACTTTAAAATAGATATTAAAGAAATTTTCTCCAATATTAAAGCTATAAACACATAATGATTTCTACTAAACACAAATTTGCTGTTATATGTATTTAAGATAAAGACAATACATCTGGGTATGACATCTTTTTGATATTAACTATATAATAATCAACTTGGATATATAACTGCTAATTTACAATGTTATTCATCCAGTCCACCACTAATTAAAAGTGAAAATATATTCTCTTATATGATAATTTAACTACATTTCATATACTTTTAATAATATTTTTAACAAATTAAAAGAATTTTAATTTATTTAATAATAATAATTTCATAAATCTAATATACTTTTACAAAACAAAAAAGATACATAGTATTATGTATGAACATTTCTTTCAGTATAATATAATAGTTAATATTGGCAATTATATGTTTTCATTCAATTAAAAAAATATATATATATATCAGTTTATGATTTTTATATAAGAAGGTTGTGTTGTAAATACTACTCTTTTTTTTTTTTATTTATTCATTATAATTACCACAAAAAGAACAATCTAATTTTTATTTTATCCAAACAATAACATTTTATTCTTTATATTTATAACCATTTATTACCACATTGAAAGAACTAGAAAAAAGTTATACTTTTTTCAATAACTTTGGCAAATTATTATTAATATGTAGATCTTTACTGGAATCCAATAATTTTGATCTTATTCGCTGATATAGCTTTAAAATTTTTTTATATCATGTAAATAATACAAAGGGATTGCTGTCTTAGTATAGAAAAGTAGTTTTTTAATAAAATCACCTGATAATACAGTAAGATTTTAGTAGGAAAAATTTTTCTTTTGAAAACATATTTTGATTTATCAAGGAGTTATTCAAAGTGGATTTCATTATTTATTTTTTCAATTAAAATTATCAGTAATCTACAGAATTTTTTTTTTTTATTATTATTTATTATTATATTAACAGTCTTTTTTAATTTAAATTATTTTTAAGATATGAACAAATAACTACTTAAAATGTATGTTTAACTTTAATTTTATTTAGATCTGTTAAATAGAATGTTTTAACTATAAAATATACATCATATAACTGATTCGTCATAAGATAATTAAAACTTGAATAAGTTATATTATTTTTTATTTATTAATTTATTATTTTTATTATTATTATTATTATTTTATTTTTTTTTTTTTTTTTTTGATATATAGTTTATTATAAAAGTATATTGTGATTTATTAAAATTTTTATTGAACAAAATTACACAGGGTATTATAAAATATATTAGTATTACTAACCTAATTTTAAATATTTATTAATTAGTATAATGTAGTATTAAGATATTTCTGTAAATAATAGTCAAGTACACACTTCTTACTACATTTAAAATGACTAATTATTGAAATTGTTTATACAATCATTTTTAAATTATTACTTTTAATACATTGATTTCTTTGTCTTTTGGCTCTACTCTTGTTATGTGGAATGTTAGGTCCATTACCACGACTATCTTTCCATTTCCTTTATTAATTGTGCTCCATTTTTAGTCATGGCAGTGATGATTCTTTGGTGGTCTTATCTCTTCATCATTGCATAAGTTATCTTCTAGGTCGTTTAGTGTCTGGTTTCAATTTTATAGTGTCTTCTGACTTCTATAAGTGATTGTCCCAATTCAGCCTTCTACATCCAAGGACTATATTATACTTGTTTCTTTATAAAAATCTTCTATTTCTTAGTTTAAATGTTTCATTATAGTCTTAATATGCTTCTAAAAGACTAATTTTAGTGTAGCAATTATTTTTATTTATTTTTATTATAGGCCATGCTCTATCTTCTTCAGCGCATTATTTTTGTCCTCCGTAAAAGAGTGGATTAACTACTAGTGTTAGTTAAATAACTGTTTAATTACTACCTCAATTTTTGCTTTATTCTTTCATGACTGTTAATGTTCTCGTTAATATTTACCCTTAAGTATTAGATATTTATCACCCTTTCAAAAGTATTATTATCAACGAGGAAATGTCTTGTTCCTAAGTTATATCTCATGACTAGGTTTGTAGTACTTGATTTTCTCTTCATTTACTATTAATCTAATTTAATATAATATGCCTAAAGGTGTTTCAAACTTTTTAAGTATTAAATAACATTTACATTGTGTGTATTTGGCTGATTAATTTATTTTGTTTCCTTATTGTGATAGGCCTCTGTATAGTAGGTATATATACTTGCAATATTAAGATTATTATTTTATATTATTTTATATAATTTAATTTTTGTTATAGCCATATTTTTATTTCTATGTAAAATTGTTATATATTTTTTTTTAATTTAAATGTATATTTATCATTTATAGGTCTGAAAAATAAATAATTTTACAAATATATGTATATATTACATTTTATATTAAATATTTTAATTCAAATACCGTTTAAAATTTATTTGAGAATATTTTGAAATAAATTACAATTAATGATTGTAAAATAACTTTAATTTCTATTGATAAATGGTATGAATAATATTTAGTATGCTTAAACTACATTCTTATATTATCATTTCCTATACATGATAATATTTTCTAAATATTTTGACTCTTTTGAATTATTTTTGAACATTACAAACTTTAATTTTTTTTTTTTTTTTAATGTATTTCTGAAATTTTGATAAAGCATTTTTTGCTTGGTTAAAAAAGTTATAGGAAATTTTGATAACAACAAAACTGTACTGAAACAGAAATTTAATTCTATTATTGTGGGTATGTGACAGATGTCTAAAACATGACAAAGACCTTACCTTAAATTATTTTTGATAAATATTATGTCAAATTTATGAAAACGAAGAAATTTTTTAGATTTGTAAAGATGTGCATATAACATAACAAGAAAAAGATTGGTTATCATATAGACATAAAAATATTTACTAAAAAACTGTCTTTTATTACAAACAAAAAATAAACATCAACAATTTCAAACAGAAGTTCTTAGTAGAATTGTCTTTTAATTTTAGTTTTCAAAAAATGTTCAGATTAAATTAAATATCGTCGTCGGCGGCTGATTAGAAATTTAAATTCAAAACAGGAAAAATAAGTTAGGTAATTCCTGAAATTTTTCAAATTTCTAACATAATTATTAGTTGGTAAAAATAATAACTAAAGCTAAAAGCTATTATTTTTTTTTTTTTTTAAGTCAAAGTATATTATTTTGAAAATTTGATTCAAGTCGTTGATTTAAATGTAAAGTATTTTAATTAAGTACAAACTTTATTTAAATAGTATATGTTATGTGGCTGTACTGCTATGCGTTCGACAATATAAGTGTTTTCCTATAATAGTCTGTTTATTCCTCACATATAAACTACTAATGATAATTATCATTTACTAATTACTAAACACGAATAAATTTGTATTATTGTGTCAAATAAACATAAATAATTTTATATTATTTTAAACAAAACGATTTAAGAACAAACAGTACGTTTAGAACGATGTGATAATATCGGTTATAAGTTATTACGACTCGGAAATACGGTAATATCCTCGCCGACTGAGAAATAGACGAGTCGTGGAAAAAAAATGTTCCGAAAAAAAGATTAAAATTTTTGATAAGAACAGGTATGGTAGCAATTAGTCGTAAAACTTCAAACTATGCCCGTGTCGCCCAGGTATTAATCGAGTACACAGTGGCGCAATGATGTTAAGGTGGTTTGCGTACAATTATGTACTCTACCTAACACGCTGCAACATAATTTACAAGTCGATTTACACATTACACTTCCGAAGCAGGTCTGCTGTACGGCTGGGCTGACGTCGACTATCGCGAGCGTCCTTACTCCTTACATTAGATAAACATCGGTTCAGTTGTATTTGTATATATACATATCAAATCGGTTCCTGCGATGATAAGGTAGAGCACAGCCCGTTTTGAAAACCGCACTTTGACGATGGCCTACGATCGCCAAAGGCCAACTCACCGAAGACCATACTTCATATAAAGAGCACTGCTATTATCGAATACTTTGTAGCGACTCACGACCGCAAGCGACTATCGCCTCAGACCTCAGTATTGTTCGAAAAAGTGTTCACAGAACGATTTTGAATCCGCATACAAAACCGCGTCCATACTTGTAAAAATATACGTTGTGCGTCAAATGTGGTAATCGCCTCAAAAATGTACACGAAAAGTATTAATAGAAAAAAATAGTCATTTACTCGTTTATAAACAAATATTTTCGTTTTACGCTGTGCGTCCGTGATTAATTATGTATACCAGTGTTTCCGCTATCGATTTTTTTTTATTTTTATATTGTTCAATAGTGTATAAACGGCTGACCTAATTTATCATATACACTCATTCATCAATACTCAAAATATTAATATAAACCAAAATGAATTTGAACGTAATAATGTACAGTTTAGTAAGTTTAGTTACCTATTACTATTTATGATTATTTAATATTTTTGAAAACAGAGAAATACAAACAATACAAAAATACGTCCACACTATACCATCATCTATTCCAAATAAGAAGACACCGGGCAAAACTGGTCGAAACTCTCACAGTCTCGCATGTCTCCTCAACACCATAGTCCATTTTACAATAAATGTCCCTCGATAATGAATACGCCAGGTGGTGATTTTTACTCAAATCAGGGGTTCACGGTTAGGGTTGGAAAATAAAGGGAACGGTTTTTATAAAAAATATGATGATCAGCGGGGATTCCGCCTTTTGTGTGCTCTTAACAAAAAATCACCACCTGACAGTCAGTATCGAAGGGAATTTATTGTGAAACGCACTGTAACAGTTTCGCCACCCGTCTGTTCACGCGGCAGTTCGCACCTTGTCTCATATATGTAGCATACCATATTGTCATACAGTTTAACGATAGTATACAGGGAAATTTATTCAATATTTTAATTCCCTGTGTACTCGGCGACGACTACAACCGACCGACGGCAAAGACTGCAATCGACCAATCGCAAAACGATTAGGATTGTTTGGAGGGTCCGAACGTCAATCCGTGATTCATTTTTACGCGCCAAAGCGATGGGTTCAATTGAACGATGTTCAATAAATTTTGATAAATTTATGTCGCACCACAAAAATCCATAGATGATAGATAAATTATATGGGAACAGATCCTCCCTTAGTCTTTTCTTTTTACCACAAATATAGTTATAGTATTGTTTCATATGTTTGTAATGCTATAAGATTATAGGATTATAAATTATCGAAAATATTACATTCT